AAAAAAAAAAAAAAAAAAAAAAAAAAAAAAAAAAAATGCGTACTCGTATGCTGGTTTTTGGGCACGTACGCGTACGCGCGCATACGCGTACGTGGTGCTACCCAGAAATATATATATATATATATATATATTTCAATTACAAAGACCAAATAAACTTACATGTAAATTTTATATTTAGAATTTTATGATTACAAATAAAAAGAAATTTTCCTGTAAGAAAAGAAAAAAAATCATCAACCTAACTAATCGATTAAAAAACTTATTTATTAGTATTTATTACAAAAAAAAACAACAATTAATTACATTTGATGATATGAGATAAATTAATTATTAAAAAAATAGAAACTGTTAGCATAAAAAAATATATCAAAGTAATTAATTACCTCGATAAAACAGTTATTAGAAAAAACAAATTCACTTAATAACGTTTGATGACAATGGTGGATCAATAATGTTCGACTTCCGGTCTCGATCCCTGTCGTCGTCAATCGATCGATCGCCTTCGATCATTTTCATCCATCAATTAAGATTTGATGATTCATCAAATAAGACTTGAAAAAAAAAAAAAAGATTTGATAAAACTTACAGATCGATTACGATTGATCGATTAATAAGTGATAAAAAAACTGTAATCGATCAATTAATTACGCTTGATGATTGTGGTCAATCAATAATAGGAACGATCGATTAGGATTTGATAATAGCGATTGATTGATCAATTACGATTCATGATAATAATGTTTGAGTGATTGATCGATTACAATCTGCGTAGCACGGCGAACGTGTTCGCGGACCTTCCCGTTCGGGCGAACACGTTCTCCCGTTCGCGCGAACGGGTCGAGAACACGTTCGCGAGAACGTGTTCTCGAGGCCCGTGAACGGGTTCCGCCCGGGCCGGTACCGGTAGCCGGCGGGGGTTCGAAGGGCCTGAGGGCCGGTGGTCGTCCGTGTGGGGGGGGCGCGGGCACGGGAATCGGGTCCAGGGAGAGGAGCAGGGGGGGAAGGGTCAGTTTCGAATTCGAATCATTCGAAACTGCCCTCGCATCGCCCCGCGCTCCAGCTGCTGCCATGTCCGGCGCCCATCGCTGTCAGGTGAGTCCCCGCGGCCTCTCCTCCTCCTCCTCCTCCTCCTCCTCCTCCTCCTCCTTGTCGAGTTCTATCGTCGTCCCGCGGCTGCCTCGTCAGCACGCGCGACCATTTTTTTTTCATTTTTTTTATTCATCTTCTTCTTCTTCTTCTTCGTGATATCTTCTTCTTCTTCTTCTTCTTCTTCTTTTCCTCCTACTCCTCCTCGTCGTCGTGGTCGTCCTCCTCCTCCTCCCCCTCCTCCTCCTCCTCCTCCTCCTCCACCCCCTACACCTCCATGTCCTCCTCCTCCTGAAGTCCGATCG